TAGGGAAAGGAACCACAGCGTCCGCCAGCCTCCCTCCCACTCCCTTCCCCCTCCTCCCTCCGCTGGCCTGCTGGCCGTGTCCTGGGTGCTGCAGGCCGAGTTCTCCTCTGTGCTCCTCTGCCCTGAGGGGCTTCCACCGTTCCCCGTTAGCAGGGCCTCCCTCCAACAGCGTCGGCTGCAGTGAGCAGGGGTGCCCGTCTAAGCCTCTGCCCTCTCCTCAGCACTCCTGCCCTCCATGATCAAGAGGAGGCAAGGCCACATCATCGCCATCAGCAGCATCCAGGGCAAAATCAGCATTCCTTTCCGATCGGCGTGTGAGTACTTCCTCTCCCTTCCTCGGAATGTTTGTTTTTATTGTTTCTTCCTGATTATAACAATAACACATTACCAGGGCCAGAAGGTGGCATGGTGTTTAAGGGTGCTGGACTCCCACATGGCTGTCTGTGGTTCAAGTCCTGGACCTGGCAGCTGGCTTTCTCGCTTTCTCTCTCTCTCTCTCTCTCTCTCACTCTATCTCTCTGTCCTTCTTTGGTCAAGTTTAAATAAATAAAAAAATAAATAAAGTTAAATAAACTTTTTTTTTTTTTTTGGAGAGGGTTTTTTGCTATAGGGCACGTGCGCTCGCCAGACAGACAGAGACAGAGAGACAGAAAGCGAGAAATCACCCCTGGGGGGATGGCCACGCCGCAATTCCTTCTCCTCCATTCTCCTCTTGGGATCTTGGGCACGCACGCACATGCACCCAGCATGAGTTTTAAGCCACCAGGTCCGGGATTCAAACCGTGGTCGACTACATGGGAGTCCAGCGACATAGCCATTACGCTAACTGCTGGTCCCAAACTTCTTCCTTTAAAAAAAAAAAACACACATTACCCAGAATCCAGGCCTTGTAGAATATGCTATTCTGAACGCTAAGGAACTTCATCAGGACGTATCCTCCAGGGCTTGTGTCTGGTTCAGCTCTCCACTCCACTCCTGACCCCATACGTGCCCTCAGGCAGGTGCCCGGACTCTTGGTGACCCAGCCTGGGGGCTGCCCAGGCACTGAGCTCTGGGACATTGCTAGTGTTCACCCCCTCATCATTTCAGGGCACATGTCTCAAGGCGTTTTCTAACATACAATCAAACACATGAAACTGGGACACATTCGTATACTGTTTGGTGGCTTGCTTATTGTTTAGCTTGGAGAGTTTGTTTGTTTGTTTAGCTATAGGGCACATATGCTCACCGGAAAGACAGAGACAGAGAGACAGAAAGCAAGAAATCACCCCCCAGGGGGGATGGCCATGCTGCAATCCCTTCTCCTCCACTCTCCTCTCGGGATCTTGGGCACGCACACACATGCGCCCAGCGTGAGTTTAAGCCACCAGGTCCAGGACTCGAACTGTGGTCGACTGCATGGGAGTCCAGCAACATAGCCATTACACCATCTGCTGGTCCTGGTGGCTTGCTTATTCTTGACTATGTATCTTTCTACAGCAGTCTATCTAGATTTCCCTCACCCTATTTAAGTTTATCTGTTTATCTCTTCAGTGAAAGAGAGATCGGCACCTCCAGCAGGATCTTTCAGTGACCGCCCCCCTCCCGGCTGACCTGGGTCACAGGCACACCCCGAGTGCTCAGGGAGCCCCTGTGCACGAGGCCAGGACTTTCCTATGTGAACCATTATGTTGCCACTGCACCACACCTGGCCCTGCCTCACCCCGTTTAGTGGCTGCATAGTAGGTACCGGGAGCCAGTGGGTGTGCGGTGCCTCTGAGTTTGCCACTTCCCTGGACACTTGTGGGTTTCTCCTCTCAGTCTTCAGCCGTTAGCAATGGTGTGCCACATAGTATATCCTTGAATGTTTGTGTTCCTGGCCACTCATGGAGGGTTTTAATAAGATAAATTCCAAGAAGTAGGACTCTTTAGGACCAGAAAGTTAGAACTGCCAAACTGACTTCCAGTTCACGCTCTCCCCTCCATGTGGGAGTGGCCACGCAGCAGTTTCAGGGCCAGCCCTGCAGCGCAGCAGTTAAGGATAATGCGCAGGGAGCCGGATCTTGCGTGGCCTATTGCGGTTTGAATACCAGCCTTGTGGCTTAAGAGACATGCTGAGTATGTGTGCATGTATGTTCAAAATCCCATCGGGATGGAGGGATGGAGGAAAAAGGATTGTCAGTGTGACCGTGCCCCACCATGGGGTGCTTCCCCCCGGGATCTCTCTGGCAAACACATGTGCCCTCTGGCAAGAAAAAGAAAAAGTATTATTTCATTCATCCGTCTGCTGCTGTTACGCCGGCAAGCACACAGAATCTACATTTTGTTTTGGTTTTAAAGTGTGTTTTGTTTTTTTTTCCTCAAAGGGTGCGTGCATGAGACTGAAGGGGAGGGAGGAAACACTCCTGCCAATGGGGCATGGTCATGGTGTGATCCCTTCTCCATCCTCTGTGCTGTTGGGAGTTCGGGTATGCACCCATATGCACCTGGAGTGTTTTTCAAGTCACCAGGACTGGGATTTGAACTGCGATTGGCTATGTGTGGAATCTGCCTCCCTTAAGCACTAGGCCACGGGGCCAGCCCCAGATTTTTTGCTATCGCTGATCTTTGTTCTCCAATATTCTGCTTCAACTCTCATCACTTAGGACACCCATCTAATGTTGCTTAAATAGTTTAGGGAAAAATTTTTTATGTACACAAATGATCACAAATGATAAAGCAGATGAGGTTAAACAGTAATTATAGGTGAATTAAGGTACTCAGCGTTCCGATATAAATTATTTCCAAATTACTTTGATTTAATCCCACTGGCTTTTGTTCCCTGACTGGCCTGCCGACTCCAGTACGGGGTCTGTGGCGGGTCTGGGGGCTGAGTGGAGAGGTCCAGGGCAAGCTGTTCTCCGGGGGTGGGGGGGGGTTCATCTCATCCGTAAGGGCGAGAACAGCACCGTGGCCTCACTGCCGTCCCAGCAGCAAGTCCAGATGGGGTGCCGAGTCAGTGGCGTGCCCGGCAGCACCAAGGTGTGAGACAGTGCAGCCTGGCGAGAACCCTCAGCCTGGGAGTTCTGGGGAGACCCAGCGGTCAGGGGACAGCCTGTTCGGGGGACTGCCAGATGGCCCACTCCTCCCGTCCTGGGCCTGGACTGCACCTCTAGAATCATGCAAGGCTGCCCCAAACCAAAGGAGCGGCGCAGCCATCACTGCCGCGCGTGACTTGCTGAGGCGTGCTTTTCCCTCTTCTTGGCTGATGGATGCCCCTTCCTTCCCAACGCCGAAACATTAAGAACTCTAAATGGGAGGAAACAGATTTTCTGAGGAAACGGAGATGCTGGTAGGTTTCCCAAGAAGGTCACGATGGGGTCACCGTGTTCCCTCCAGAGCACCTTTGCTCAAGTTGTTGAGCTGCTGCTGGAGGGCAGACGCGCTTCTCACAGGGAGAGCCACCCTCCAGCTGTTCCAGAAAAAACCACCACCTGCAAGTGAAATATGTTGGAAGCCAGCCATGGACTTGACACACTCACACGCGTGTGACGCTGCTCGCTGGCAGCATGCCCTGTAGTGGTACGATGGGCACGACCTATGAAGGCCCACAGATGGGCCAGTCCTCCACCTGGTGACCCCCAGGAGGACCCTGGCAGGCTCAGTCTGTGCCTCCCAGGGAGGAGAGCTACTTGCAGGAATCACAGGAATAAGTATGCACTCATTTCCGCAGTGTCACTTACCATGTAAAATCACGTGTGTGAAAGTCCTGAGGAGCCATTAGCAACGCTGACCTCTGGAACGGAAGTGGAAGACAGGAGGACTTCCGTTTTTCCCTGTATTTCCCTCCATACTATTTGAATGTTTGCCCAGTAGGTGCTCGGGTTGTTTTTCTATTGTTTTAACTTTTACCTTGGAATGATTTCAAACGTAAAGTTGCAGGAGCAGCACAGACTGCTCCCGTGAGCCTTCACGCAGACGTCCGTCCGGCTGCTCGTTCGCCCGTGCCGTACCGTGTCCTGCTCTGTGCATACTCATGTTACATACAGTTCATCTTTTCTTCCTGAACTACTTGAAAGGAAGCTGGAGAGGCTGCTGCTTTATTCCTCCTCCTTCACAGTGTTTCCGAAAGCGAGGACAGTTCACCTCTAACAAGCAGGGAATGAACACTACTATAAATAATGTAATTTTTAGGAACTCGTTATAGGCTGTATGTGTGCACAGAAGTGAGAGGGGAGAGAGAGGAGCACTCTTCACAGTGCTCGGTCACACCATGGTCCCTGTCCTCTGCCTGCTGAGGTCCTAGGTGTGCGTGCATGCACCTGGGGTGTTCTCAGGCCAGCCAGGCTCAGATTCGAACTGTGGTCAGCATGTGGCTTCCAGCTCTGCAGTCCAGCTCTGGGCTGCGAAGGCTGGACCATAACAGTATGGTTTTATATATTATAAAACCAGGTAAAAGTGAGTAGATGGGAGGGGAAGATGGGCTTTGGCCGTGCCTGCCACAGCACACTCATCTATCTTCTCCGTCCACGTGTGTAGACGCGGCCTCCAAGCACGCTACCCAAGCATTCTTTGACTGTCTGCGGGCCGAGATGGAGCAGTATGAAATCGAGGTGACCGTAATCAGCCCTGGCTACATCCACACCAACCTCTCTCTCAACGCTATCACTGCTGACGGGTCCAGGTATGGAGGTGAGGCCATTTCTCCTTCCTTCTTTGCAAAGCCGTTAGTTGGCCCAGTGAGACTTTATATCAGTGAGTCCTTGCTGGTCGTCATTTGGATTATTTTAGGATGAGAAAAGTTGGCATGGGTGCTGGGTGTACAGCAGACACAGACTGTGGAGGAGCCTTCATTGGCCTGGCCGTGGCCTGCCCTCAGCTAAGCAGCATGGCTGCAGCATTCAGGACAGGCCTCTGGAGCCAGAACTTTACGGGGCACCAAACAGGTCCCCAAGTGGAATGCGGCTAGCCTGTTCCTGGGCCCAGAGCCCGAGGAGCAGCAGGATCAGGGATATGGGTTGCCCTCCTGGCCAGTGTGGGGTGCTTGCCCTGAACAGTCCCCAACCACTGGGCTTGAGAAAGGACTGACTTCAGGCCAGTCCTCGAGGTGAGGCTGGACATGGCGGTCTCAGCAGCTCCATCTGCTTTGTCTAAGCAGTGACCTGTAGCCTCCATGTGAGGGCTGAGTGGCTCGGCCCCAGCAAGCAGAGACCAGGTGGCCGTTGGATGCTGAAGCTGTTGGAGCTGGGCCTGTCTCCCTGGATGTGGACTCGGGGAGGTCTGTGCTGCAGTGTCTGCCAAGGCCTCTGGTCCTCCACCCACCCCAGCCTGGCTTGCACAGAGACGGCCCACGTCCCGGGGAGGCAGTTACACCCTCACACAGCAGACACTACAGGGGCGTGTGGCCAGGCATTTTTGCACCGGTCAGTACATAGAAGATTCTGTGAAGGAAACCCTCTGCAGCAGATAAAAATAAGTCGCAATCAGAAGTTTCCAGTTCTTCTGTTAACCACAACACAATGAGCCCGGGTGCTGGGGGCGGGGGCGGGGAGAGCTCAGGCGTCTGGGCAACTTAGGAACAGTTCTGGGGCCAGTCAGTGGCATGGTGGCTGAAGCACTATATTCCCACATGGCCAACTGCAGTTTGAGTCCTGGACCCAGCAGCTTGAAACAGTGCAGGCACATGTGCATGCGTGTCCCAAATCCGGGGGAAAAGGGATTGCGGCTCGGCCATCCCCCTGGGGGGTGATTTCTCCTTCTTCCATGTCTCTCTTTCTGGTCCACACACACACCCTATGGCAAAAACATTTTAAAAAACATTAAAAAAAAAAAAAAAACAGAACAGTTCCAAGTGGCCTGTGCTAGTGCCTGCCAGCTGGCCTAGAGGAGCAGCAGTTGCTGGTGTCCTGCTGCATCCTAAACTCTCCTAGCTGTCCCTCCACCCCAAGGGAGACAAAGGAGTCCTTCCAGTTTCTCATCCAGTGAGTGAGGAACATGCCACAGGGGCTGGGGCGTGGCACTCCTAGCTAAGCCTAGGATGTGCCCCAGGTCTGGGCCTTCATCCAGCTCCAGTGGCAGCCTGGTGGTCACCCTTCTTTAGCCACTGCCAGCTCCCAGAGGCATGTGTTCCCAGTCAGGGTGCTGCTCTGATGCACTGGGGGTGGGGGTGGGGGTGCTCCTGGGTGTGCAGACACCAGGCACTGGCTGGGCTCCTGGTCCAACAGACCCCCATGTCCTGCCCATGTCTCTTCCTCCTCTTCCCACAGTGAGCTGCCACATGGGCTCTCTGGGCAGTGCAGCAGGCTCCCTGCTGGCCCTACCAGCCCAGTCTTCTTATGCCCCCGGGAGAGGGCCTTCTGCCTCCCACTCACCGTTTGTTTCCTTTCCTTCAGTTATGGACAAGACCACGGCCCAGGGCCGAAGCCCTGTGGCAGTGGCCCGGGATGTCCTGGCTGCTGTGGGGAAGAAGAAGAAGGAGGTGGTCCTGGCTGGCTTGCTCCCCTCCTTGGCTGTTTATCTCCGAGCTCTGGCTCCTGGGCTCTTCTTCAGCCTCATGGCCTCCAGGGCCAGGAAGGAGCGCAAGTCCAAGGACTCCTAGTGCCACGGCAGGACCAGGGCAGGGGCAGTGTCCGCCCCGGCAGGCGGCCCTTCAAGGACAGTGCGTCTGTGAGACCTTAGTTGAGCTCTGTCCCCAGGTGGGGAGACCGAGGAACACTTCCCACGCACATCCCCGGAAGGCCACTGCTGTGAAGAGAACGGGACGTGGAGGGTGACTGCCTCCCCGCTGGAGCGAGGCAGCCCGGGAGGAGACAGGCCACCCCCTGGAGACAAATGGACACCTGGCACAGCCAGTCCTCTGGGACTGGGAGAACTGGTGTCCTTTGGATTCCGGCCCCACCCGCCCCTAGAAACCATCCCACCGTGGAGTCATGGCGTCATGACATTGTGACGTCACCTGCCCCTGCTGTCTCGTGTCTGGTTTATCCAAACCCACTTAGCTACTCGACTGGGCAGTCACACCACCTCCAGCACCCCAGGGAGAAGGCGTGGTCCTAAGACATCATTACGTCCACTTCCAGGGTCCTGGGCACATCCCAGGACTCCACCCGGCCCGAGCACCCGAAGGGCGTCCGGTTTCCTTGCTGCCTCTCACCTCAACCCCACAGGGTGCTAATACCACTTGAAGCATTAGATCTACCACCTGGTTGGGTCTTAGCCAGAAAGAGCCCTGCCTCACTTTTCTGATTTACCAAAATACGTGGCCGAGGTCCACCGAGCAGGTCCACTGCTCACTATTCCTAAAGTTTAGGAAGAATCTTTTTCCTGTCATTGACCCTGAAAGTTGGATTTGGGGCCCAGTGTAGACTTCCCAAATTGGAATAAACTCTGGAGCACACCATCCTGACATCTTGTGTCATGACTCCTGCCAAGCCGCCCAACAGGTGACACGAGTGGCACAGCCAACCTGGGGGGAGGAGGATGAATGCGTGATGAATGCGTGATTCGTGCTGGTGACTGCTGGAACATTCCAGAAGCCTCTGGGTGAAATGTGGATACAGCCACGTGGACAGGCTCCATCTGCCAAGTGGATCACCTCTGAATTGCCCTTCGTGTCTCAGTGGAGATGCGAGGGCAGAGCTGGAGCCTCGCCAGCAGCACTGTGAGCTCAGCCCGTCTGACATCGGCTGAGGCTCCAAGTGCAGAGAAATGAGGGTGTCCCTTTGGGGACACTCATGATGGCAGTTTCTGAAGGGCCCTGCCTAGGAGCTGTCCCCTCCCTACGGAAGGAAATAACGGCAACACGGGAGAGCACTGAGACTGTCCTGGGGCTGCAGGGGCAGCATCAGGGCATCAGACGGGGGTGGTGGCTATTGCAGCCACTGGGCAGGTAGGGAGGAGCCAGCAAGCCCACTCGGCTATGGTGCAAGGAGTGTGGAGCCAGCACTGAGGGCACGCTTAACATCAGCCACACCTCGTACCACTGCATGGTCACCAACCTCGCATTCACACAACTCCACCCACTTTCTAAAACTTACTTTAGAAACCGCACATTCTACTGTACATACATGCCCATAGCCTGGTGGGTAAGGGCACCATATCCCACGTGGCTGACCATTCTACTGTACATACATGCCCATAGCCTGGTGTTTAAGGGCACCATATCCCACGTGGTCGACCGCAGCACGAGTCCCAGTGACTGAGAAAACATGCTGGGCACGCGTGTCCATGCGCAGAATCCCAACAGGATGGAGAAGTGGCCACGCCCCACTGGGGGTTCTTTCTCCCTCAAGAGGCAGTACACCCTGTCAATTTATTGTTACGTGCACCATGTGCTCGTGGGGGCGGGGGTGGGGGTGAGAAATCCATCCCCGGGGAGGTTGGCCACGACAGTCCCTTCTCCATCCTCTCAGGCTGGTGCACACACATAATCACGTACCCAGCATGTTCAAGCCACGTCCACGCCTCGAACCATGGAGTCTGCCATACGGGATCCAGTTGCCTTTACCCTCACAGCTGTTAGCTGCAGGCAGTCTCCAAGAGAGGAATTAAAAGCCGCTTCTCTTGTCAAGCTGGGGACTAACTGGGCCTGTGACTCAGGACCTCTCTGATGTCCAAGAGGTAACTAAAGCATCTCAGGTGCCCCTGGAGTTTCACAGCCCTCCCTGGAGCCAGCAAGGGTCTGGACAGATGTGGCCCTCTGGAGTCCTCACGTGGGCAGCAGCAGAGTGCTCCCTTCCAGGGGGAGCCCCACACAGCGGCAGTGCCTTTGCTCCCCAGGCAGGGTCATGGGGTACGGTGATACTGCTCTGGGTTCTTTTCTGCCCTCCATGTGGTTTGGGGATTTGGGGCCCTCCTTTCATCCTTGAATTCTGCTGGGGAGGTCTGAAAAGCAGGCTTATTCACTGGTTTTGCTTGCAGAGATCTGATAAAGTTCAAAGATGGGGCTCTTTGAATGCCACACCAGAGGCTGAAAACACCAACTGAGCTATCCCAGACAGCAGCACCCTTGCAGAGCAGAACAGGGCAGGGCAGGGCAGGGCAGGGCAGAGGAGCTGCGGCTGGCCCGCAGCTGGCCAACGAACTGCCTGGCTCCTGTGAGGCCCCTCAGCTGCTGACCCAGACCCACTTGCCAGGGGCCCAGGGCTGCCGTCATTACCCACCAGTTGTTCCTTTGCATAAAGGCTCTGCACTCTGAAACTGGGCAGGACAGGCAGTGGGCACTCAACTCCCTGGATTAGTTCAGCCACTCCCACAAAGGGCCCGTTTGTGCGGGCTTTGCAGCAGAGGGCCTGGGTAGCCTACCTTTGACTCTGTCGGTGATTACTCAAATGCTGTCTCCTCAAAAGCACAGTGGCACATCTTGTCACAAACCAGCATCAGCCACTGTCGGCGACCCTCCAACACCTGCTTGTCAGGAAGAGGGGAGGGCAGTGTGCACCCTCACCTGGGCATGCCAGGCCCTGGCCTGCTGTCCAGTGGCCCTTGTCCTTCTCTCTGGCCAGGGGCCATACAACTAAGATGGCACTTGAGAATCTGGGTTAGTCCACATAAGAATCACTGCTCCATACAGCCTGGAAAATGGAAACCGTGCCACGGCTCACACCTGGTTTCCATTCTGGGTGAGGGCGTACGCTCAGCCGAGCCGAGCCTTGAAGGCCAGCTGGGCCTGCCTGTTACAACAGCCACATCCCTGCTCCCAACACACAAGTGTATTCCCAGGGGTCTTGGAATTAAGTCCCAGTTCCTTATACTTAGGAGCCATGGTCACTTTTTAAATCTTCTAAAAGCTCTGGACCTCCCCTATAAAAAAATGGCCCAAGCACCTGCTAAAGTCCCCTGAAGCCTTCCCATGTACCCCACTTTACTCTGACAACACATCTTCCTGGTAGAGCCTTTAAAGCTGGGTGGAAAGTCACTGGCTGTCTCTAAGGCCGGCCCTTCACTGTGACGTGCCTGTGGCTCAGGGATACCTGGAGAATGACGGGGAGCTAGGGGAGAGGCAGGAGCCCATGCTCAGTGCAGGTGGGAACGAGGAAGGCACCACGCAGCAACCTTTGCACCAGGGAGAAGTATGGGCCTGGCTCCTGTGGGAGGATGGGGCAGTAAGGCCAGGACTGCCGTGAACAGCAGGGACTCATCTGGTGCTTCGGAAAAGTCATTTAGCTTCTGTGTCCTCCCACGTCAGACCCCTGAAGTCCTGGACTCCGGCATACCCTGAGAGAACCCAGACGGAGACTCTAGGACCCATGAGCCTCCTGCCTCGCCCCACCCTGCCTGGCTCCTCAGCAGCCCCAAGGCGCTGCTGGGCTGCCCTGGCTGCACTTGGAGATGCCAGTCTGCAGCAAAGAGCAGGGCGCTTCCACAGAACCTCCTGTTCCACTGTGAGCTGCCACCCAGAGCCAGTGTGCAGCTGCGGCTGCGGGCAGTCAGGGGACGAGCACAGTGGAGGTGAATTCTCATCATTTTAATGGTCGATAGCCCCCGCTGGCTCTGCACGGTACAGCTGGACAGTATACTGAAAGACCCCCACGTGCCACACCCCTCAGTAGCGTGTGCTTCCATCAACATTCCACTGCCCACACAGACTTCCACAGCCTCAGCCCCTCCTGGCTTATGGAAATCCACATCTTAGTGTAATGAGCTGAAAAACCCCCGGTACACCCGTGATCTGTGTTATTCTTAAAAATAACAAGTATTAACCCAGACACCTTCCCAGGCTCCGCTGCCTCACACCCAGAGCAGACGTGCTGCGGGGCCTGAGCGCTCTGGTCCTGGGGGCTGGGTGTGCTGCCGGCCGGCCGCCCTGCCTGCTGCAGTCATACGGCGTAGAGCTCGTAGATCTTCTTTACACAGTACACCAGGGCGGCCAGTGCTATCGTGTTGTGCAGTCTCTTTCTGTACAGGTCGTCCTTCCGGACCAGCACCACCGGGGTGGAGGAGGTGAGTGTGTGCAGGGGCAGGCGGGACAGTTTGTAGGCGTCATACTCCACTTGGTACTTGCAGCAGGGGTCAAACTGCCAGGAGATTCCATAGAGGGTGCAGCAGGCCAGGCTCACCGCGCCGGCGGGCAGGGAGATGTAGTGGGAGTACTCTAGGGGCAGCGCTAAGGGCGTGAAGAGGCAGGTGGTGCCCGCCAGCACGGCCGTCTTGTGCAGGCAGTTGCCCACGGTGATCCAGCGGGCCGTCTCATCGCCGATGCGGGTGGGCTCGATGACAATGTACTTGTACTGGGCTTCCAGGGCCTGCTCCAGCTCGTACTCGAACTGGTCCTGGGCGTTCTCCCCGTTGTAGATCTCGTGCACGATGTAGCAGTCTGTGGCCGACAAGCTCACCCTTTGGGGGGAGGGAGGGCAGGAGGGAGGAAGAGAGAGACAAGACAGTGAGGCCGAGATGCACTTAACTGTGTTTCCTTACAGCCGCGGAGGAAGTCTGGGCCAGAGGCTCTGAGGGCACAGCTCACCTCGTGTCCAATCTCCAAGAGAGCCCCCAAGAGAATCAGGGGCTTTAGCTGTCTTCTGGAGTGAAACTGTGAACACAGAATGACACCGGGAGGGGAAAGCCTCGATGTCTGAGATGACCGAGTGGCATGTGCACTGGTCTAAGACGCAGCAGAAGGCCCGCCAGGACAGCCGATGACCCCAGCACGATCGACCTCTGCGCAAAACCGAACACAAACAGCAGGAGGCCGAGCAGAATCAGGGGCTTTAGCTGTCTTCTGGAGTGAAACTGTGAACACAGAATGACACCGGGAGGGGAAAGCCTCGATGTCTGAGATGACCGAGTGGCATGTGCACTGGTCTAAGACGCAGCAGAAGGCCCGCCAGGACAGCCGATGACCCCAGCACGATCGACCTCTGCGCAAAACCGAACACAAACAGCAGGAGGTCGAGGCCACAGCAGGGGAGTGGCTGTGGAAGCCCACAGACCCTGGGCCACCCCTGGCCTAAAGAACACAAGGTCCGCCGTGGCTGGCGGAAGACCAAGCTCCTCTTGCTGTCTGGAAGAGCAGGTTGCTTGACAGACCGCCTGGTGGCCGCAGCGGCCCACAGCTCCTCCTGGCACTGCAGACAAGGGCGCCGCCCAGGAGAGCAGAGATCCAGGCTACCTGGGGGAAGCCACTCATTTACCTAAGGAGGCAATGACAAAGCCCAAGAACAGCCATGGCTTTCAGATTCAGGGAGCAGAGGGTCACGAGGACTTCCGAAACAGCCCAGACGATGCCACCAGTTCTGACATAAAGGGCCCCGACAGTGCCGCACGCCTGAGAAACGCCGTCCACGAAGCCACTCGGGGCTGATGTGAACCCCCACTGTGCCCCTGGAGTTGAAGGATGTGACCCTGAGCAGCTGAAGAGGCGCCCAGAGCGCCACGGGAGGCTCAGTCCCAGGGACAGGGCAAAGCAGCACTTAGGGCTGCCTTGGCCCCCTCCCCTGGGACACCAGCCTCACTGCCACTGAGCACGCTTTCCCACACAGCTCGGCCCTTCCTACCTGTCTGGACCCTGTGGCGGATGCCCTGACTCCCAGTGCGTACCGTGTCTCCTGGCTCTGGTTCTCCGCACACTGTGACCAGAGGCCTCCTCTACCGTGCTGCAGACCCAGCACCGAGGCTGCATGGCGCCTGTAGCCAGCACACTCTGCCGGCACGCAAGCCCTCTGCCACATGCCCAGCAGGGCAGCCCTCCCCTCTGCAGCCCCTGGTGTTTGCAAAACAGAGGGCCACATGGCCTAACCCAGCAGCCACACCTGGGTTCCAGCCAGTGTCACGGTGACAGCAGCAGCTGGTGGAGACACCAGTAACCCCAGCCTCTCGGTTCAGCGTCAAGGTAACCGGCCCTCCCTCACAGGCGGCAGCAGCCATGCAGCTGACCGGGCAGGCCCTGGGGAAGATGGTCATGGCACTCCCTTCCAGTGGCTTCCCCGGCAGCCTCAGCACGCCTCTGCCCTGAAATGTTACTTTCCGCACACAGATACGGTAGGCTCCTGGGAGAGGAATTCTTCTAGTGGATCCATAGCCCACCGGTGCTCTCCAGGGTCACATGACATTTGAAAGCCCTGGTGATAGGTGCTGACTGCTGCGAGGGTGAAGCTCTACTCCCAGGCAGGAGCCACCTTTTAATAAAAGGTCCAGCAAAGGGAACTGTAATTAAGCCGGGCTAGGGCTAAGCCTCCTAATTAAATCACAGGCCCTAATTAAACCGGTGCAGGAAGAAGTCATTCCCTGGGGTCGGATAGGCAGCGCCCCCAGTGTGCTGGCAGCTGGGCTTGCCTGTGGGGAAGTGTGGCCCAGGGGGAAGGGTCCGTGTGTGGTTTTAATTCACAGGGGCAAGTGGGGGAAGTCTGGGCCTCAGTCGTTGCTCCCAGGCAGGCCTGGCCGGCACTGCAGCCCAAGGGGACAGGGCCAACCCCACTCCCCTCTGGGACTGGGTGTCCTCTGTGCCCCTGGCAGGCTGTCCACAGTGCTGCCGTTAGTGAGATTGGTCTTGACGAATCTCAGATGTGGGACCCCCCAAAGTCTGGGGATGCTCCTCCAAGAGGAGCTGCCAAGAACGTTCAGGGAGAATGTTGCAGGCAGCGAGCGCTGTTTGGACAGCAGATGGCTGAAGACCGGCAAGGATGGCTGAGTTCCCTGCAGGTGTGCGAAGCTAGAGTGCACTCTGGGACCCTGTTGGTGTGGGGGACGCACAGGGGCTCTGCGGGGCCAAGGGAACCCTCGCTTCCCCTCCTCAGACTCCAGTGTGTTCACAGGCTCGGTACCTTTTTCTTTAGTCACGGTAAAATACAAGGACACTCAGTTATTCAATCAATCTCCAGGCATGTCCATCTTGCAGAACTGAACTCTATCCATTAAAGTGCCCCAGAACCACCACTCGACCTGTCTGAGTCTGACCACGCTGGGGACCTGTGTGAGGGGATCACACAACTGTCCCGTGACTGGCTTACTCACTACGTATCATGTCCTCAAGGTTCGTCCGCGTTGCACCGTGTCAGAACGCCCTTCCTTTTCCAGGCTGAGTACTACTCCAGGTGTGCAGACAGACATTCTGTGTATCCGTGCCATCTGTCAACAACACGCGGTGGCTGCCCCCTCTGACTACTGCGAATAAAGCTGCAATAAACACGAGGGTACACGTATCTGAGTCGCTGCTTCCGACTGTATGGGGTGCACAATCAGAAGTGGAACTGCTGGATCATACACAGTTCCATGTTCACACGTGGAGGAACCACACGCGTGTCCACAGCGGTCGCACCACTGTACTTTCCCACCTATGGTGCAACCACTGTGGGAGGGTTCCGCGGTTCCAATTTCTTCACATCCTCATCAACTTATTTTCTGTTTTGTCTACAGTGAGGGTAGGTAGGTAGGTATTCTAGCACACCACGCCCCGCCGGGCACAGCCTCTGTTAGCTAGGGAGGGAGCAGGTGTGCCACCAGACCTGGCCTGTTCAGGGTGGGCTGCAAACCAATGGTGGGCGGGCCTCTCGCGCAGCCTCTGCCACCAGTGCAGTGTGCCTTCCCCTAGCACTGCTGCAGCTGGGTCTGCAGCTGTTTTTTTTTTTTTTTTTTTTTTTAAGAGGTTTTTGTCTTAAGGCACATGTGCTGCTGGGGAGGGAGGGAGAGGAAGAGAGGGAGGGAGAAAGAGACAGATAGAGACACAGTGAGAGGGAAAGTGAGAAATCACGGGGGGTGGGGGGCACATCACAGTCCCTTCTAGAACCTCCATTTTCCTCTCCCTATCTTGGGCACGCACACACACACACACCATTTCGAGTTTGAAGCCACCAGGTCCAGGACCCAAACCACAGTCAGCTATGTGGGAGTCCAGCAACATAACCACTACGCCATATGCTGGTCCCTGCTTTTGCATTTTTTAAAAGAATTATTTATTTATTTAATTCCATTTGTTATTACTATTTTTTTTTCTTAATTTGGCCAGAGAGAGAGACAGGGAAAGGGAAAGGAGAAAGGAAGCTGCCAGGTTCAGGACTCAAACCGCAGTTGGCCATGTGGGGATCCAGCGCCTTTAGCCACCATGTCATGTCACCTGCCAGCCCCACTTTGTATTTTTAATAGCAGTCATCCTGGGCCAGTCGACTGCATGGGGGTTAAGGAAGTGATTCCACATGGACTGCACAGTTCGAGTTTGACAATCGCACTGTGTGCATGTGTGTGCATGCCCAAAATTCTAAAATGAGATGGGATCTTGGCGTGATCATTTTTCCCCCACACCAAGGGTGCTATCTCAGTTTCTCTGCTGAGTGCACATGCCCTCTGGCAAAATTTTTTCTTTCTTTTCTTATGTTTTTGCCAGAGGGCATATGTATTCTACAGAGACAGGTCCTGCCCGGGGGGGGATGGCCAGGCCACAATCCCTGCTACGTTCTCCTCTTGGGATTGTGGGCACCCATGTACATGTATCTGATGTTAATTTAAAAGCCACTGGGTCCAGGACTCGAACCACGGTCAATAACGTGGGAGTCTAGCACCTTAACCACCATGCCAGCTACTGGCTCCCAAATTAAAAAAAAAAAAAATAGTAGCCATCCTTATCTCACTGTGCTTTCTGAGCTTCACTGAGACAGAATTCACAGACCACACAACCCTCCCATGTACAGTGACGGTGGGGTGGCTCAGCTCCATCAGAGCTGTGCAACCAGCACCCAGTCTCAGTGCATTGGCATCAACTCACATACCCCCATACCCCTCGGCAGTACCCTTATTTCCCCAGACCTTCCCTGGCCCTGGCAACCACCAGCCTGTTTCCTAACTCAATTTGCCATTTCTGGGCATTCCACATAGATGGAATCACAGTGAAGTGTGAAGTGTGTGGTCTTTATGGCTGGAGTCTTTCACTTAGCATCGTGTTTTCAAGGGTTATCATGTCACAGCAAGTTTATTATTGTTTACATGTTTTGAACATAACTTTCGACATGTTTAACACAACTTTGAACAATCTCAGAGAGAGCCCTACGGGAGGATGCATCAAAGGTGCTACACATGCAAAAAGGTCAGCGTGGTTTGTTTTCTGACGGTGGCCTAACAAGGCTAACTTACAAACTTTCTTTTTCCTCATGCTTTTCTGGAATTCTCAAAAAACTAGATAAACACGTGTTTCCAACTCTTTCTTTTTTTTTTGCCAGAGGGCTTGTATATTCACCAAAGAGAGACCAAGAGGGGGAAGACGGAGAAAGCACCGCAGTGGGGTGTGGTCGTGCCAAAATCCCATCTCCTTCATTTCCCCACCCTGTCGGGATTTGGGGCATGCACGTACACGTGCCCGCCATGTTTCACGAGCCACTGGGCCCGGGACTCAAAGTGTGTAAATGGCCGTGTGCTTCCTTCATAGTGGGGAAATACTTGGACACTCTTTTTGAAAAGAATCCTAGTCCATAACCCTCTTCGCCCTTCCCGCGGGTGAAGAGACCAGGTGTCCAGGGGGCCTCCACTGCCGAGGAGAGCAGGAGACTGCTCCCTTGCTGGTGCTGTGGAAGAGCCTCGGGGAGCACAGGTAGCCTCTGGTGGCCGAGGTGTCGTGCTGGTCTCACCCCGAGTCCTGACCAAAAGGAGAAGACAATCTGCTTCCGCGTGTCACTCGCACAACTGCCCTGCCAGCCGGAACTGGATGTAAGCACCTGCCCCAGCCCACGTCCTGGAGGGGGCTCAGGGATCACAGCAGGATTGAGGTGTGGTCCCCCATCTCAGGCCGTTCAGAGGAAGCCGCCCACTGGGAAGGCAGAGCCTGTGTTCCCATCTCAGTGTCCCAGCATGGGCTGAAGACGGCGAGTCCCCAGACAGCAGTGGTGAGTGAGGGGAGAAGGGGTGACAACTAAGGGAACCGAGGTCCAGCTCAGGTTGCTTTTCACTTCATAGTGCTACTTACAGGTGGCCACTTGGTCACCTGTGCACAAGGGGCTGGATGGACTCTACTCCACCCCAGGCCAAGAAAACCCACTTCAGATCAACCATGGACTGCTTCCTCAGGAGGCCGAGAAATACAGAAATGCGGAGCAGTGAAATCCTGCACCACAGACCTACAGCCAGGTAGGGGAACAGAAGGCACAGGTGTGCAGCCCAGACACTGAAGACGGCTCTCGATGGTCCAAGAAACTTGCACAGAGCACCTGACGCTTCCCGTTTCCGGAGAGCACCGCCCCATCCCATGCGCTGGTAACCGAGCAGCTTCTGTGCTCCCGGAATACAGACACGATGCCCCAGGAGTGGGAGCCAGGCCCGGGTTCCGATCCCCCAGTACTTGCTGGCTCTGTGCTCGCCCTGATCCCACTGTGCTGACAGGTCTCGGAGCAGGCGTGCACACCCAGGTGGCGGCGGCAAGTCTGCATCCTGTGCAGGGCACGTGGTGTTTGCAATTATTAGGTCATCGGGAAAACCATGGTGTATTTTCCTGTTTTTCTATGCAAAAATACATAATGCTTTCCCAACAACTCAAAAAATTAATTAGAATTAGGTAAAATAAAGAGTGCAGATGTACAGACCCATGTGGCTCAGGGCCACACGAATGGACAGCAGGGACATCTGAATGTTGTCATAGCAGAAAGTCCCACTGGGCAGCCCTGACTTAAAGAACTGCGGTGACTGCTATGTCAGCTTCTCCCCAGAACTCTGCGCCTAAGCTACTGTGGCACCAGGGACAGAACAGGGTGGCAGCTGGGAGGTTGCTGCGCACTCGCTCCCAGCCTCTTCCGCCACCACAGGCCTGCAGCACAGAAGACCAACCCAGCCTTGGCCTCGGCACGGCCTGCTGCCCTGGATACTAGACCAGCCATCCCCTCTTCTGGCTCCTCACCAGAATGTGGCCGAAAGGGCAGAACCACCAAGGCACAAATGCGCACAGCGGTGACCCAGGGTGCTTGAGCGAATCTGGGAAAACAGAAACTCACCCTGCAGATGCGAAGGCGCGTCAGGGCTGAAGAGGAGGCACCAAACAACGCCCAGCGGCGGTGCGCCCCGTCCGGCTAAACCAGTTGCCTACACAACCCAGGGGCTAAGTGGCAACGGCTCAGGGCAAACCTCATGTCTGCTCATCTAGTGCAGACCAAACACTGGAGACATTTCCACCACCGAGAGCCAGAACGGGAGTCTTTCAGAGAAAGGAAGCACGGTAAAACCTTCAGTCCTCAGTACTAAAGAAGGGTCAGGACAGAAAGCACCCCCACTAGGAATGTGACCCAACCTGCCCACGTGGCTTATGCCCCACCTGTCTGGCAGGACTGGGAGCTAAATCTGTCACCATCTGGGACCACATGTATCTGAGCTCACTGATGAAAGCAAAGCTCACTAGCTGGCCCCATGTTCTACTGGTTAAGGAAGCTGGATCCCACGTGACCGACCATACAGCTCAAACTCCTACCCTCATGGCTTGGGAAACATGCCAGGCATGTATGTTCATACCCCAAGTCCTGCAGGATACAGAAACAGAGAAGAAAGGATTGCGGCATGCCCACACCACACTCGGGAGTACTTTCTCCTCTCCCTCTGTCAAGCAGACAGGCCTTCCCTCTGGAAAATTAAAAACAAAAGCAAGGGCGAGGCTCTCAGAGAGGAGGCTGCTGTCCTAAGGAATAATGTGGAATGGGGAGCCAGAGAGTTGGAGGCCAGTGCCCTGGTGGTTAAGGGAGCCAGATCCCACACAGTTGACTATGGTTTGAATCCCAGCCCTGACCACTTCAAAAACATGCCGGGCATGTATGCATGTGTGTACAAAATCCCAACAGGATGGAGAAATGAAGAAGGGATTGCACTGAGACCACACCCCACTGGGGAGTCCTTCTTGGTTTCTCTGGCAAGCACACACACCCTCTGGCACCGCAGAAAACAGAAGTATGGGATGGGAAGATGTGGGAAGAACCCCAATGACCTGGCTGCCCAAAAGTTGCTGGGACAGATGGCTGCGCCAGCCAGGGAGGGAGAAGCCACAAGAAATAACCCTAAACTCCGGACAGTCAGTCTGCCAGACCCAGCTCTCTGAGCACCCCTGGCTGTCTAAAGCACCCAGCAGTGACCAGAAGCAGGTTGAGCGCATCGCGGCATGATTATAAAAATGGGAATTTAGCACACACAGCTGTACTCATTCTAATAACCACAGAGTAACCAAGCAGCCCCAGGAAGATGGGGCCGCAGGGGTGTCTGTGAGCTGCTCTGAGTGGCGCACAGGTGGCAGAATACTCAGGTCCCCACGATTGCTTGCCTAGATGGGCAGGTGTTTCTCAGAGAGGCCGTGGGGATAAGAGGCGGCTGCTGGCTGGGCCTGCTGTCTGTCAGTGCTGAGTTCCGCACAGGAATTCACGTTACAACTCGGAGCCTGCTGCTCTTCACTATGGCCTGTTGATTCCCTCAATTCAATGGAGCTGAGAGGAAAACCAACACGCAAGCAGCTATCATTTTGCAATTGCCACCCCTCCTATCTCAGTCTAGACCAGCACCGCCCAGATCCGAACTTCCTATGATGCTGGAATGTTCTCTGTGCCATCCAACACAGTAAAAAACAGCTACTGAGCACCAGAAATGCGGCCAGTGAGA